CTCCATATCTAAGCTTGTAGAATAATGAATAATTTCTCAAAGGGAATACTTCATTGTTTGTGTCACTGTAAATTAAGGTAGACACGACACTAGAAGACTCACAGCAAGTAATAAATTCTACTGACTAATGAATGGCAATACGACTGCCATTAAAAGTTTCTATTCTAGAGTGAGCAAAGAACCCACTTGCAAGGAGAAAGCTCTGATAGCAAATCCATTAAAAATAGCTGTGGGAATGAAATCTGAGAATAATTAATTTTTTAAAATGACTTTTATTCAAGCTAATTTTGTTTGAATGCCTGAATAAAAGGCAAAATTCCCTAATCCAGGAATAAAAACAAAGCGGTAAAGAAGGGCAAGCCTTCCTTTCACCAGACTTACGTGAGGAAAAAATTGTAAAAGAGAAAAAGTTATTTCTGCACATGGTCAGTTTTATAATGGTTTCTGTTAGTAATGGTTTCTGTTAGTAACAGAGTCCTCCAGTTCCAAGTGAGGCCATAACATTTTGTCTAATATCCTGAATATCGATTTAATTCTGTACTCAAGCTTCTTTGCAGAAATTCAGGGCTTAACGGTGATGACATACTAATGACACAATCTTACATCTGAAGTGCTCCTTACCATTTTCAAAGGTTTTTGTGTACATTATCTAATTTGACCCTCACAACAGCTGGAAGAGAGGTACCTGTAATGTGATATTACGACTAAAACATTTTGCCTTTAAAAGCCATTATGTTGAGAGCTCTATAATTCATGTCCAGAGAAAAAGTGGTGTAAAATCTAGCCTAGAACGGTGCCTCTACCCACCCATTTACAAATTGAGAGAGACTTATCTGAGAATGTTTTCAGATACATAGGTAAGTTTATACATACGTAGAAAAGCTTGAGCAACAAAACTTTCTGTTTTTGGTAATAATTTCCTAATGTTCTAACTCTTCTCCGTTATTAAGATTTTTTATTGATAACAAAAATTAAGGCAAGATTTTTCAGGAGAACAACAGAAACAACTTGGGGTATTTACATTTGAGCAAAATGTTTCAAAATAATTCAAATGATAGAGGAACTGAGAAGCCACATGGGGGACCGTAAGGTAACCCAGGCATAGCAGAAACCACTATACTTCCTGGGTTGGACAGACACAGGGAGATGACAGGGTGACTTAAGCCCAGGGGTTGGGGCACCTGGCAGAAGTTGAAGTACTATGGAAGCTGTAGCTAAAGAGAGTTTCTGCTTTGTCCTTCCAAAAGCAGAAACGGATGGGGAGAAATAGCCCAGGTTTTTCTCTTCTCCCCAACCTCCAATTTCTCACTAGTGCTTCCTGTTGGCTGAACCCAGCCAGAAGCCAGTGACACAGGAATCTCTATCAACCTAAAATGATGCAGAGAAAAAGGGTGAAGAATGGATCATGTGCCAAACAGGCCCACGATATGCACATAAGTTGGAAAGACTTTTGAGTGAGAAAGTGTTTATTACTTAGATACAACAGCTAACATCTGTTAACCAGTGTTTCAATGATTTAGAATGAATACTGACCTGTCTACTTACAATGATACAACTATAATTTTTCAGAAAATAAATAAATAGAACACAATCCAAGATTTAAACTAGAATTCATAGTCCTCAAGTGCTTGAGACACATAATACCACTTTTGTCCCCTCTTGCTCCATAGCAAAAACTTAGTGTAGTTTTCCCTGTGTTTTCTCTATAGATGCACCATGCACTCAACACATTTCATTCATTACTTGAAAGTGAATGACTAAAGCGCTCACAACAATTTCATTCTTCTTAATGTTAAGCAAAGCAGTCAGAGGACATTTAGGCTCAAGTCACTGTTGTGAAAAATTCTACCATATTAATATTGCAATTTTTCCATAATTGTGGAGAGTCTAAATCTAAAATTTTCAGAATTGTTTAACAAGTCCATTCTGGGAATGACTATAGTTAGAAAGAATTATATAAGAAAGAGAGAAACAAGGTAATATTAGGCACAAAGGAAATCTAGACATGCTTTCATGCTAAGAAACTTGATGAAGGTATTAAACTTTTTATACTCAATAATTGAGGCTTAGCTGAACAAGCTCCCCTTAAGGCTGGAGCTTTTTTGGTGGCACTGCCTTCGGATTGGGGAGCCTCCCTCCTTTGTTGCCTCTTACTTATTTGAATAATACTTCCACCTACTCAAGTCTCTGGCTTTTCTTCTCACTCAATTTGTTTTTCTTCCCTTGCATTTTCCTCATGAATAGCACATTCTGTGCTACAACTGGAAGCTCTTACCCTCTTCTCTTTCTTCCCTTCCCCACTTCCCATGTTGGCAATTTGCAAAAACCCACTGCTCTGGAGGCAAATCCCTGAATTAACATGGACATCTTTGTATTATATCCTTGAAAGGATCCTGGGGTCCCTGGCCATCTTCAGCTGTGCCAGCTGCCCAGGCTAGAGGTCCCTGCGGCTTTAATTTTCCTTCTCACTCAGAGGGAGAAAAGACTCAAATTGTTCTATTTCTTGGGCATCATGTAATCCACATATTTACCACTTTCATTTTCACTTAATCTTCTAAGACTCAGAAACACCTCCTGACCACTGTTGATCTCACTCTCCATGTAGCTACCCCAGTCATCTTTCTGCTTTTCCGCCGTCACTGTCAGAATACCATCTTCCACCAGTTGACCCAGCATATACAACCTAGCAGAGTCGACATCTCTATGTGACCATGCATCATGCTGCTCAAAAAGAAAGCCATACTACTGGCTTTATCTTCACAGACCACAGTCCTATTTCTGAGAGTTGTTAGTTGTATGCACTGACAGGACAAGAGCTTTAACTATTTCATCTTTACTCACCATAAGACCAAGGGTCTCTCAAGGGTTAAAAAGAACTTTAAAGTTACCTTCATGCTAATATTCATGCTCATTACTCTCTTCCAAACAGCATAAAACTGATCAGGACAGAAAGATTCTATTTCTAGATTTGCTATGCACTTACTCTATAACCTTGAACAAATGACTTTACTGCAAGGATTATAACAATTTATCCATTGCACAGAGGTGTTATGGAGATTAATTAATTCATGTTTTTAGGTGATTTGAGGATCTGCTAATGAAAGATGCTATATAAATGCTAATTTTTATTATTCATTCATATATATTCTCTTTCAGCTGCCTCATAAAATGGTCACCCTAAGAAATTACTATTAAACTCTTTTAAAGAATGAAAATGAGGAACCGAATTTTCATTCTGAATCCTGAATTTCCTTTCTTTTCAAGATGTAAGACTTATGATCTCTAAGTCATTTAAATGCAGATATTTTGGCTGAATTGCAGTTATATATAATGCTTATACTTAATAATAAGGATATAGAGATTCGGAAAATTACAAGCTGAACACAGTAGAACTTGGAAATACAGTCTATTGTTTAAGCACACATAACCTGTACAATATCAAATCCAGTGAGGTTTTTAGGCTTTTAGACGTAAAAAACTTTTATAATGACCAAAATATTTTTAATGCAATTCCATTCAAACCATTTTAGCACATCTAAAAGAGCCATTCTATATAGAAAACTCCCATATGGTCATATGATTACTTATGATGTTATGTTATTATATGCACACTTGCTGAAAATCCTTTTAAAAACTTTTATGATTTTGCATGGACATTTTGTAGTTTGTTCTTCTGTGGTCATTATTGTAGTAGACATGGCTGGTCTCTAGGATATGAAAGTTACACAAAGGGAAACAGTAGCTATTCTGCTAATTCAGAAGGATAAAATATTTTTGTTCGGAAGGAAGCTCCAGACACCTTGGAGTTGAACTCGGCCTCACTGCCCTTATTTATGCCTTTGGTTCCAAGGAATGATTCTGACCTATTTATCCTCAGAAACCCTATTTTGTTTGAGGTTGATCCAGAACTTAGGGATTTATCCCAGATTTTATCCACATTCCCATTTTTGGTCTAGAATTTCCTTGATCTAGTTGGGAAAACTTTAAAATTATCTTACCCATCACATTTCTTTAGCCTCTCTGGACATTTCTTCATTTTGATCTAGTGGAAAGAGTGGCTATGGGGCGAAGGGAGAAACAATTGCCTTTGGGAACTTTTTGACACTTGAATATACAGTTATTAACATGACTTTGATAGAAAGGGCAGGCAACCAAGTATAGTACCTTTCTCTAAATAGTGTCTTATACAATAATCTATTAATGCTAAAACAATTTTCAGTACATATGAAAGAACATATGCATTGCATTGTATGTTGAACATATATATCGGCAGCAGGTTTATAGCTACTCTATAGGCAGAAAAGAAGCTGAGAGAAGTTTACTTGTTTTACTTCTGGTGGTCTTACAAAACCAAAGGCCATGTAGTTGGACCTCAGAATCCTGACTCTTAGTATGCTCAGATTACATCCTTCCTGGCAATTCACAATTTAAGACCAAAACTTTTAGTGGTCATCATTCTGTAAGAATTAAGAGTAAAACATTTATGCTGAACAATATTGATCTAATGAAATAATAATTAAGGTTTATAATCAGTGGAATGGTGGTAAAACTCAGAGAAACATTTCAATTTTGTTATTTTTAACAGTTGCCCTTACACAGAAAACACAGATCTCAGTTTAGTTTCTAATGCCATCCAGACACTACTTTACCCACCAAAAGGATCTTCTGGCACCAAAGAAACATCAGAAATATCTTCTGTTGTTTTTTCTGTAAGTGCACTACTTAGTTTCTGTTATGACAGAATTATGACTGATAGGTATATTTTAAAATATGGTGGTTTCCTTTTATAAGGACATGATCTTGAATAAGGGGATTCTGATGCACTACTGGAAAAACCCATGTCCAGAATCTTAATCCCAACATGCCAAAAATCCTCACATGATACACAACTGCAAAAGCTAATGTGAGTCTTCTTCCCCAACACCAGTGTCACATGAATCAATCTATATCTATCTATATATATTAAATATGAAGAAAAGATTTGATCTTCTATTGCTCACCTCTAAAGAACTCATTGATATCGTTGATCCAGTTTCACTTCTTGATAGTCCTGCATTATCATCCAACTCAGAGGCCATGAAATTCTTCACAGCTGTGCGAGGCTCAAAGGGCAGATTCTGCATATGTTCCTGGGGTGCAAGATGTTGCTCTAAGTTCATACTGAACTGGTCCATTACAGGGGGATTCATATTGAATTCAGGGTTTACTTTGTAGTGCAATAGCCTTTCATGCGGCAAGGTTTCCATGCCGATATTCATTTTGCTTTCCTCTTTCATTGATGGCTGGGTATTTACAGAACTTCTGGGCATCACAATATAGTCACTTTCCATCATTCTTTCTTGAGGATGGACTATGTCCATATCAGCCCCTCTCAAATTATCATCCGTGCATAAGTACACAGTTCTCCGCAATTCACTGTTCTCTTTTTTCAAACATTGATTGCCCAGCTCATTCATATTCATAGGCATGTGCAGACCCGTGGGTTGCTGGATGATAACTTTGGAAATGACGTTTCCAGGCAATGTCGAATAGCTCAGTCCTTCAGGGTTCGTTCCCTTTTCTTCTTCATCATCATTTAGAGAAATCCTGGAGAGTGTTCCTGTTATTGTGGCTGCTCGGCAAGGACCGATATCCTTATGAAGAACTGTGAATTAGAACATAAAAGTTGATAAAAGAGAGTTAATATGTGTTTATTTTTCATTATTATATTCTGTTATCTCTTTTTGTACTAAATAATTTTCTTAGTAAATTAAAAAATCAATTTAAAAATTACCTATCTACTTGTTTGTACATGGTCCAGATTAGACAATCACTCTTTATTAATTCTGGTATGCTCTCATAAATCATAGGTAGCCCACAGCTAAAGTATATCTGAAAGCTGATTAACGGCCTTTCAAGAATCTCAGTGTCCTATCCTTAAGCACCCCTACATAACTCTTCAGGGAAAGGGTGGATTACCAGAGATGCTTTCTTCATGAATCTACTCCAAAGAGTTTTGAGAAAATTATGGATCTATTCACACAAATTTGATTTTTTTCTTAAAAGCTTTCCACCTAAAGTGTTCTAGAAATTCTATTCATTAAAATACTTCTTTAAAAAGGTAATTAAATGACGATGTCATCCTAATGGGTCAGAAATTTCTCCAAAAATTATGTATGTTTAAAATTAATGAGAATTTATCCATTGAAGTCCATATGGTCAAGGTAGGTATAGGATTCAAAAGTAATATCTTTAATTCTATGTAGGAAAAAAAGGAATTTTTTAAAAAGATTAATATATATGCTTGAATGCTTTTATACAGGTATTAAAATTGCCAACTGAGTTTAAGCAGAAAAACTGTATGAGCCTTTGGAATCTCCATTCCACTATAAGTCTAAAAAATAGTGGTTTAGAAAAAAAAGTGTATGTATGGGCCAGGTGCGGTGGCTATAATCTTAGCACTCTGGGAGGCTGAGGCCGGAGGATCGTTTGAGGTTAGGAGTTTGAGGCCAGCCTGAGTAAGAGTGAGAGCCTGTCTCCACTAAAAATATAAAAAAATTAGCCGGGCATGGTGGTGCATGCCTGTAGTCCCAGCTACTCAGGAGGCTGAGGCAGGAGGATCACTTGAGCCCAGAAGTTTGAAGTTGCAGTGAACTATAATCATGCCACTGCACTTTAGCCAGGGTGACAGAACAAGACTCTGTCTTAAAAAACAAAACAAAACAAAAAAAAAAACAAAGAAGAGTGTGACAACTTGTAGTACGAAAAGGAACATGAAATTTAAAAAAAAGATTTCAAAAAGTATAAAAAATAAAAAAGGGAACAAAATGAAAACATAAATGGAACCAAACAAAAACAACCAATCAACAAAACAGTTCAGAATTCTTCATTACAGTTTACTCTTGTTTTGTTTTCTTTTTTTGTCTCTCCATAAAAAGAAAGCCACGATTTATAGATAACAGAGGCAAAATAAGTCAAAGCATGCTTTGCTATGAACAATCATCAGTTTTGAGGGTATGAAAGAATAACATTTTGAAAACATATTCTTGGTAAATTTGGTTTTGAAAGCACAGAAAACTGTGTGAGAGTTGGCTCAACAAGTGCACCTAGTGCTACCTTTTCTACAAAGCAGAGCAATTGTCATTTAAAATTTCATTAAGCACAGATAATTGTAAAATATTTGGTTTATTATCTCCTCATAAAAATTCCAGAAATACTGAGTTTTGCCTATTATCATTCAATTTTCAGCTAGAATCATAATTACTATGCATTAAAGCAGAGGTGGAAAAATAGATTATGAATGCCTTCCTATTACATAGAAAAGAAACCTTTAAAAATATTTCAAAACATGAATCATTCATGTAATATCTGTCTTTAGAGAT